TTTGAGGTATTATTTTAAAGTTGTTTTAAGGGGAATTTGGGAGAACATAGATGAATCCCTGCTTTCACTCCTCCATCTTGTTCTACCACCCATGTCTTTTTTTTTCTTTTAGTGAGGCAGGGACTACAGAATTTACTGAATCTAATTCCCTGGGAAAAGAGGTCCAAAGAAATAACTTGCTAATAACAGCTTGTAACAGACAGAATTTGAACCCAGATCTGCCTGAATACATCTATTTTGATGCTATATAGAGCTGGATGCACACTTAGTGATTACCTAATTCAATTTTCCCATCATTCTATATGCCATTTTGCTAAATGTGGGGGTATTAAAGGTGGAACTCTGACCTTGAAACTTTTTTTATTTGTATTATTTCTAGGTTCTGGAGAAATCCTTTACACCTCAACAGATTAAAAGCTCTACCAAAAGTCTTGATGACACTCAGAAATTTCTGCTTTTGTTGTTTTATTCATGTCTGTTGTGTCCAACTCTTTGTGACCCCGCTTAGGGTTTTCTTGAAAGAGATACTGGAGTGGTTAGCCATTTCCTTTTCCAGCTCATTTTGCAAATGAGGAAACTGAATCAAATAGGGTTAAGTGACTTGACCAGGATCACACAGCTAGTAAGTGCCTGAGGTCAGATTTGAACTCAAGGAGATAAGTCTTCCTTACTCAAGATCTGGTATTCTATCCACTGTGCCACCTAACTGAACACTCAGAAACTACTTTATGCCAAAGAAACCTCACAAAGAAGCAAGAAAGCAGTATCACCATCTTATAGATGACATGAACAACAGAGCAGAGAAGGTATGGAGCCTCAGGTTCTCATGGGTGGGGATCATATACCTTCTGTTCTTCTGATATCCTATCCCTTCAGCAGTTTTACAACATCATTTAACTTATTTGAATTTAGTCACAATTTACCCTTCACAACTTCCCAGAAAAGCTTCCTAACAATTCCACTTCAAAGTGGAATGGATTGACTTGAGATATGGTGAGATTCCTCTGTCTTTGGAGATCTTCAGGCAAATGTGGCATAGTGGCTAGTCTATACATATGATTTAGGCTAGATGACTGCTGAGCTCCCTTTCAACTCCAAAATCATGTAATTTTCCACTCTACCCCCCATGACTGCTGGCAACATCACCACCTTCCTCAAAAAAGGCTTAAAGTCAATGTCAACTTACTTCCTATATCCAAATTGTCACAAAACTCTGTAGATTTTTCCCTTTTGTATTTCTCGTATTAATTCCTTCCTCCAAATTCTCACATACTCTTAGCTAACCCAAACCTTAACCATCTTGAGTGTGTGTTATTCCTTTTGACAATCTTCCCTCAATCCATAAAAGAAGGTAGTTTGATTTGATAATCTCCAAGTTACTTTCAACTCAATCAGTCAAGAGGCAATTTTTAAGTATCTGCCACATGTCAGAAATTATGCTGGGTATGAGACATATAAAGATGAAAACAATATAGTCCCAACTCTTAAAGTGCTTATAATCCAATCAGGGGAAACAATACATTTGCAAATAAGTTAATAAATATAAAGTGAAGTGCAAGTGTAGTATCCTGCCTAATAGAAGCCAGCCAAAAGAACTTCTAGGGAATCCAGGGACATGGGGTCTGAGCAGTCCAGCTTTTTGATGCTGAATCAATTAAAAAGAGAGACAGATTTCGGTTGACTTTCTCTTGCATCAGTCCTCCATGTGGCATTATGTAACTCTGAACCTTCCAGGGTAAGGGGGGGAAGAGTTGCCTCTTCTCAACCAGCATCATGGATACCATTCTCATGTGGCAGCTAGAGTAGGTAGAATACATTAGTACAGAGCTTATATCTATGGTTGACTTCTGGTGCCTATCCTGAATAGATAACTAAGCATCAGTCTTAATGTGCACATATCCACCTTTGAGGGACCTTATGAGTTTGATAGTTCTGGAGCTCCATGAAATTGAGCGGCAGCAAAGGTAGTTTCTTCATCAGAGAAGATGACCATTGACAAGAGGAGGACTCAAAGCCTCTGATCCATTTCACCAGAAAATATAAACCAGTAGCTCTTTGCACAATGAAATTTGAACAGGAGAGGTGAAATGTAAAATGCCTGATCAGCAGGCCCACAAAATGCTCTGATGAGGTTTAAATATCTGTTCCCCAAGAGAGATAAAAGTAGTTGTTAAGTTAAGTTATTGGATCCTGTTTTAAGTTATTCTTCCAATATACATTGTGTCTATTAATGTTTAATATGGCTGTAGAAAATAAATACCTACCCCACAACTGATTTACAATGTGCTTTCTATTCTATCTTTCTAGAGATCTATACACGAGCTGAAACCTAAGCTTAAAATGATTTGTCCTGAATTAGTGGGGTTGGGATTTCATGGGGAGGAGAATGTGGGGGAAAGGGAACCTAACCCCTCTACATAGAGACCAGGCTTCCCGCAACTAATTCTATGCAGACTGTGTACTTGGACTGAGAGCAAATGGATCCCTCAGAAAGAGAGGGGCAGTGTACATAATGCCCCAATGGTCCTCAGGCTCAGCAGACGTTCTTTTCTTATTTTTTAAAACTTTATTTTTCTTGTTTTGTTTTGTTTTTGGTCTCTGTTTTCTTTTGTAACAGCCAATATGGAAATGTGTTTTGAATGACTGAAGGACATATGAAGAAAGACACCGCCTGCATTCAGTAGCAGTTCTTTATGTCACACAAGATAAATGTGAAGAAATGGGGGCGGGGAAGGTGGCATGAGATAAAGAGAATTCAGGAAAGGCCTCATGGAGAAGATGGCATTTGAGCTCATCCTGAGAGGGAGCTAGAAATTCTAACAGGCTTGAGGCGAGGCAGGCAAGCATTGAGGTCACAGGGGCAAACCTGAGCAAAAGCTAAGAGATGGGAAGCGAAAGGTTGTGCACTTGGGACAGCAAGAAAGCCAGCAAAGACAGCTACTGCCGATGACATATTTTTGTGCTTCCTTAATTGTGCACATGTTCCCCATACACACACAGAGAATGTAAGCTCCATGAGGACAGGGCTATTTCATTTTACTCTTTGTATCACCTGGGCCTAACAGAGTGGTAGGTACTTAATAAATGCTTATTAATTGATTGATTGATGTTTGTGGTTGTGTATATTCATAAACACACACATACACAGGTATGCAGACATAAATTCTACTCAGAAAAAAATCTTGTAATAATTTTCTCACTGGTAGACTTCTATGGCTATCTCATTCACAATGAACCATAGGTTTGATAAGCCCAGTGGGAAAACTGTGAATGGTGTTTGAAAAGCAATGATTGGTATACACTGTGTTTCTCTCTCATAAAAGAAAGGAGGAAAAACTAAATTAAATTGTTTTCCTCATGCAGCAGCAATTAAATGACTGGGGTTTTTTTTCGCTGAGTGTCAGTAGCTCTCAAAAGAAGAAAGCCTTCCCCTCCCTTGTCTATGACCACTTTGATTTAGTCCATAAGACTCTCATGGAAAGGACCATTGTGTTGGGGATATACACACACATGCTTATGCATATGTATATGTATATGTAAGTGGGTGTGTATACACACATACACTATACACACAGAGTTCAATTTAACAAACTTTAATTATTTCTCAGAAGGTGCTAAGCATTGCGTTAGGGACCTAGGATACAATGACCAATAGTAAAATAATCCCTGCCCTTAAGGAGCTTGTACTCAACTGGAGGCCAACAGCATGTACATGGATAAGAAAATACAACATATATACACTACTGCTTGCATCATTAACAGAATAAGCATTTATTGAGCATCCATTATGTACCAGGCAAAGTGCTAAGTGCTTTACAAATATTACTTCGTTTAATCCTCACAACAACCCTGGGAGGTAGGTACTATTATTACCTCCTTTTTTTACAGTTGAGGAAAGTAAGGCAGACAAAAATTAAATGGTTTGCCCAGGATCACATACCTAGGAAGGGTTTGAGGCTGAATTTGAACTCAGGTCTTCCTGACTCCAAGCACAGCACTGTACCATATCAATGCATCATAACTGGAGAACTCTGAATAAGGAAATCCCATCTACCAATGCAGCCTGCCTTCAGCTCTTCAACTTATGGTCTGGTCTGGGAGAAAAACTGAAGTGCTGAGTGGCTGTGACTTGACCAGGATCACAGGGCATGTATAAGAAGCAAGACTTGAACCCAGGTCTTCCTGAATCCAAGGCCATCTTTCTAATTATATTATACCATACCACTTCCTTATAGTGCTATAGACTATCTCATTTATACTTACATTATTCAGATATTCTTGGTACAGTGAATGCCGACTTTTATTAAGCCAACCCTCTTTACAAACACGATGTGTATCATAGTTTTCTGAGACAATTCCTCTCCATTCATAGTATGATTTTCCTGTTAGGACAATCAATACAAGTTAAAATGATATTGATGCAGACAAACTACCTACTAATCATGTTGTTTAATGTCACAAGAAGACTAAATCATCTATAAGGGATCACTTCTATGCATTAAATCCCATCTTATCTAAGAAAAATGAAAAAGTGATTATGACAGGGTCTAAGACTTCCTTCCATTAAGTCCTTTCTCAGGAAGGGAATCACTCTCTGGTTTTCATTAGATGCTCAAAAGACTAACTGATTAATTTAATTCAGTCTCTCCTTCTCTCTGCTCAGGACAGTGATAAGTTGGAGGGAGAAGACAGAATTGATTCTTCTACTAAGAAGCATAGGTATCTACACGGTATAGCAGAGAAAGTATCTAACTTGGAATCCAGAAGATCTGAGTTTGAATTCTGCCTCAAGACACTCACTGACTGAGCAAGTCATTCATCATCAATGCACCTCAGTTTCCTCATCGTAAAATAGGGATATGACAGTAGCTATCCCCAAAGAGTTGTTGTGAGGATCAAATGACATAAGTAAAGTATTTTGCAAACTTTAAAGTGCTATGTAAATGCTAACTATAGCTAGTATAATGGTGGCTTACATTTCTTAGAGTTTTCCCATAAACTCAGTATAATGAAAAATCTTTGAGAGCGGGGACTGCTGTGGGTTTTGTGTTTGTCTGTTTATTTCCTCTCTTTCCCCATCCACAGAATCTAGCACAGTGCCTTGCCACGTAGTAGCTGCTTAGTGAATACTTGGATTGGATTGGAAACCTCAGGTCTGTAAAGAGCATTTTGAAAAAGGGAAAATTTTAAAAGTTTTTTTCTTAAAAGGTACTTGAAGAAAATCTGGGCCTGTTCTGACAGCACAAATTTCAGATTTATTCAACAAAGTGAATTACTACAGTGCATATAATGGAACTTGGTGAAGAGGGTAACAACAACAAAAAATACTGTGTACAGATGTAAATGCCCCATTGTCCCAAATATTTCTTCTGCCTCATGACAATTATTATATGATGTCTCTAAAGTGAATTTTAACTTGGAAACTAAATGAAATACAATCAGGTTAAGAGTTATTCCATAAACCTTCCAAGAAAATAACCCTGTGTTTGAATTAACAACTCTCATTCTCATGCTATTAAAACTCTATTACTCAGTTCAGGATGTCATGCATTTTCCATTCTACTGGTAGTGACAGAATTCTGACTTTTAAAGTTTTTTCCAACATAGTTCTATTCTCCTTCCTGGTCTACTGTATCTCAGTGAAGCCTAATCACCTCGAAGCAAAGAGCTGGAACTAAAAGAAACCCTAGCATTCATTTAATCCAACCCTTTCCTTTTACAGATTAGGAAACAGGCCCATAAAGGTTAAGTGACTTGCCGATTATCACAGAAATCTTTGAGTAGCATAGTTACAGTTAGAATCCAGGTTCATTGACTCTATATCCCATAGTGTTCACTTTACCATCCTACCCCATTTCACCTGCGCCTTCTTTTATGTCTCCAAACAGACCACAAGCATTCAAAGTACAGGGAAATATGTCCTTTATGTTTCCCCACCATACCTAATATTATGCTCTGAATATAGCAGTTAATTAATAAATGCATGAATAAAGAGGGAAATGATATGTTTAGCTTTATATGGTGGCTGCAAATTGGAATTGTAGACTAGATTCTAATTAGAAATCTGCCTCCAACATCAAACTACTCAGGAGAATCCCAAGATTGAAGCAGCCAGGAAGTTGAAGAACCAAGCCAAGTCACAACATATGGAATTCAGACAGTGCTAGTTTACCCATTTCTCTAATCTCTCTACAGACAAGAAAACATAATGCCAAGAGAAACAGCCACCAACCATTTCAACTACTCAATTCAGACAATTGTCACAGGTACAATTGCTCTAGGGTCAATGCATAAGAAGTCTATGTGAAGAGCCTAACTGAAAAGCTGGGTTTCCCCCTATTAAAATATAATCTAGATGACATCACAGAATAGGAAGGATCTAACTGATCAGAGGAGAGAAGATAAAGTACTTTGCAAACCTTAAAGTGCTTTAAAAATATTAGTTATTATTATTATTATTATTTATTCTCAATAATTATCTTTATCTCAATGGCTCTCCTTCCCAGGAATCTAGCAAACGGTTAGCTATTTTAGTAATGATCGTGGAGGCTCAACTACTACAATTTTTACATTAATTATATCAGTGGTCTGTGAACTCAATAGGATGATGGTGGTGGTGGCACCTAGCAAGCATTTGATACTTTGTTCTAGGGCAGTCACTGAATAAGTAGTAACCAATAGGCAACAGGATAATGAAGGCAAGTCCACTTTTGTGCATAGCAATCATTGATATAGTACGATTTATTGCTTATTAATAATATTTAGTCCCAGTGGATAGAGTGGGCCTGCAGTCAGGAAGACTCATCTTCCTGAGTTCAAATCCATCCTCAGACACTTAATTGCATGACCCTGGGCAACTCACTCAACCCCGTTTGCTTCAATTCCTTGCTGTAAAATGAGTTAGAGAAGGAAATAGCAAACCACTCCAGTAAAAACATCAAATGGGGTCACCAAGAGTCAGACACAGCTGAAATGACCTAGCAGCAATAACATACTTATAGAGCATTTTCAACAGTCATTCATCTCATTTAATCTTTATAATATTGCTAATGAGGTAAGTAGTAAAGTACAAATAGGTTAATTTTACACATAAGGAAATTGAAGCTGATAAAGGTTGTGATTTTCCCAAGGTCGCATAACTAATAAAAATAATAATAATATTTACATAGTGCTTACCATGTGCCAGGCGTTTTATGATAATTATTTTATGTGAACAACCCCGGGAGGTACATGCTATTATTATCCCTCATTTTACAGATGAGGAAACTGAGGCAAACAGAGGTTAAGTGACCTGTCCAGGACCACACAGCTAGTAAGTGTCTGGGGTTTGCTTTGAACTCGGGTCTCCCTGATTCCAGGTCTGGAGCTCTGTAGGCTGTTCCATCCAGCTGCCCAGTGGCAGTGGTGTATCTTACTTAAACTCAGATCTTCTGAGATTTTGATCTAGCTTCTTTCCATTGTGCAATATACCATGAGAAAAACTTTCCTGTAAATAGAGTCAGAGGAACTAAGATCAAATCCTCCTTCTGCATGACTAATATGGAAGTGTTTGGTATGACTGCACCGGTATAACCTACATCAAATTGCTTGCCTTCTCAATGAGAGAATTTGGAACTCAGTTTTTGTTGCTCTTTTGGTTTTTTAAAATTTATTTCTTTTAATTTTCAATATTCACTTCTGTAAGATTTTGAGTTCTAAATTTCCCCACCTCTCACTCCCCCCTCCCCAAGGCGGCATGCAATCTGATATAGGCTATACATGTTGTGAAAAATGATTTTTCTTAGTAATCATTATCTTGGAGACTCAGAGCTTTCCCTTTATCTAATCTAATGGCTCTATTCCTGCTCATTGTGTTGCCCTGACAGGTCTGGGAAAATGTTAATTCCTTCCTATTGTCAGGACAGGTGATATGGGAAATCGAAGTCTCTTTGACCAGAATTAAGTGACCTAAGTCACATACTCAAGACCCTCATTTTAATATAGCCCAACTCCCAGTGTGTTGACCAATTAAAGTTGATTGGTACCCCTTGGGAACACCTACTCATTGAAGGGCATATAACTCTGGACCCCCAACCCCCAAATGGAGCCAGTTCTGGACTGTAACTCCCATGCAATGCATGTCAAGCCAGCTTGAGAGAAATTAAAATGTGGACACATAAACTCTTCCATTTGTTTTTCTTAGAACAAACTCTGTTTTGGGGGTTCACAATGTACAATCATATCAAACACATTTCCATGTTAATCATGGAACTCAAAATTTTTAATAATGAGCATTAAAAATTTTTACATGTAATTGGAAAGACAAAATAAAATAAAACATCCCACCTCTGCCACTTATGTTACCAATGTGAACTAGGTTTTCTTGGCTTCAGTTTCCTCAGGTACTAAGAGAAAGGCAGGGGTATATACACTGGAGTCCAGGTCAATGCCTGTTAAATTTTCAGTGTAAGCATTCACATTTCAGAAATCAGGAAATGCTACAAGTCAGTGCTTTTATTGTTTTGTTGATTTTTCTAGACTTGAGAAAATGATGGAGAAAACTGAATAAAGCAGGTTAAAGTTAAAAGTATGTCATGCTGTACATTTTTCTCCTGAGAACCAGTTGTTAAACATTTGCCAGCATGCTGCTGGAGTCATGTAGCTGTTATGGTTCTTTATAGTTCTAAATTTCTAAATTTAAAAAAAAAAAAGATCTCCTTCAACCTGCTAAATTGATGCTCAAAAATTCTATAATTAGGGCTTCATTCATTTGGATTAAATGAAACAGTTCCTCTGTCCTGGAAAGAGGAGAACTTGCCTACAACCAATTCATCTAATGACAATTTATCTAGTAACATTTTTGCCTAAATTTCAATTTTCAAATAATAGGGTACAAATTGGACTTCTGGGAAGCTTATGAGCTCACAAGAGGGAAGGGGGAGGGTTGGCACTTTTAAAGTATTTTTTTGCATCTGTTGGAGGTGTTTTTTTTTTTAATTTTAACTTCTTTTATGCATACTCTGTATAATTCAGTGAGCCCAGTAAGATTTTCCTAAGTTCCTCCTGTGTCTCTTTAAGGAGGTGCTAATCTCTTGACCATTTCCTCTTCTGTTTGGGGAGATTAACATGAATGAGACCTTTTTCTGGGTCAATTGATATCTCTTTGATAAGGTATAAACCTGCCTGACCATGGGTACTCTCCTTGCCTTATAAAACGTCACAGTAAGAGTGATTGATTGAATAATGGCTATACCCCTGAACTATGCCCTTGGACTTCACCTTTGAGAAGAGCTCTGGAGAGCAGGAGGGAGAAGTCAGAGGAATGAATGACAGAGAAAGAAAGCCTGCCAGATTCACCCAATCTGAGTTATTGTACACATCCCTGCTCCCTCCAGGTGCCACGCACAACCATCAGGCACAGACAAACCAGGTTGCCTTCAGGCACACTAGGTCAACAGCCCCAGTTCTGAGTACCTCTTTGACAACTTTGAAAGTCTCCATGTATGAAGCAGCTCCCTGGATGCTGTGTTGATTATAATCCCTAGTATCTCTGTGGAGTTCATAGCCACATACAAATTCCATTCAACGGCGCTATTACCACAATTCATGGGTACTCTGCGGCCTATTCTGATAACGGCCCTTTAAATCCTTACACCAAAGAGCTAGTGAAGGCACATTGTGCATTCAATAATGCAAAAGCAGCGTCATCCTTTCCCAAGTGATTTGCCACAACCATGTTGACCTGCTTCTGTCCCTACTATACCATCTTCCTTGACTTCAGCTTTGGACCTTGACTTCATATGACATTGGCTCCTTCAATACCATTTCCAACCTGTGATTCCAACAGTCTGCTGTTTCTGGCTGAGTTAACACTTGGACTTCCTAACTGGTATGCCTTAGCATTATCTTGCTGTTTTAGCTTAGGTCAGTCATAGACTTTAGAAGTCATAGAGGTAGTAGGTGGTAGACTGAATAAAGACCTGGACTTGCAATTAGGAATGCCTGAGTTCAAATCCTGTTTCAACTAATGGCTATGTGAGTGACCCTGGATAAGTCATTTAATTTACCTCAGGCTCAGTTTCCTCATTTGTAAAATGGAATAATAAGAGCACTTAACTTACAGCATCTTTCTGAATACCAAATGAGATAACCCATGTAAAGAGGCTGGCAAATGTT